TAGCTTGGATTTGTACTTGAGGAAGCTTCTTCAACATGAGGTGATCTGACAACTGAAGGTGTTTTGCTTCTTTAGATTGTTTCAGCAGATCTTTTATTGTTTCTGCCTTCTCTAACTTCTTCAGCATTAGACTTAAGGAAGTCTTCAAAGATTGGCAAGGCTGAGGTATGCACACCATTCCTTACATTTGCAACAATCCCTTCCTTTTCAAGGTAAGGAAATATTCTTTCATCAAAGATCACATTTCTTGTGATGATAACCTTTCTAGATGGTAGCATCACTTTGTAACCTTTGTAGTGATGGTTGTGCCCAATGAATGTGCTAGGCTGAGATCTGAACTCCAATTTATGCTTATTTAGAGGTCTGATATGAGGGTAGCATAGACAACCAAACACCCTCATTGAATTATAATCTAGTTTTCTTTTGTACAGCAACTCAAATGGTGATTTGTGGTTCAACCCTTTTGCTGGTAATCTATTTATGGTGTAACAAGTTGTGATGAAGACATCATCCCAGAACCTTGCAGGAAGCTTAGCATGATGCAACAATGATAGCCCCATTTCAACAAGATGTCTGTGTTTCCTTTCAGCAATGCCATTCTGCTGGGGAGTGTATGGACATGAGATTCTATGTTCTATACCACACTCATTGAACACTTTGGTTAGAGTTTTAAATTCAGTACCTCCATCTGATTGTAACCTCTTTATCTTATAATTAAATTGATTTTCAGCAAGATTCTTGAAGTGTAAGAATGCTCCATGTGTCTCAGTTTTATTCTTAAGCAAATATAGCCAAGCAAATATACTAAAATGATCAACAAACACAACATAGTAAATATATCCATTTGTTGATTTAACTGGTGCAGGTCCCCAAAGATCAGTGTGCACCAATTCAAGGGGAGAATCATAGATAGTTTTAGAAGATGTAAAAGGAAGCTTATGGCTTTTTGAAACTGAACAGGAATCACATAAACTGGAAATGTCATTGACAGAATAGGAACAATTGCATGCTTTCAGTGCCTTCTCAACTAAGTCTAAGCTGGCATGGCCTAATCTTTGGTGCCAAAGTTCTAGACTAGGAATTTTATTTAAAGACACTGAATTAACTGAAAGATGTTCACTATTCAAAGAAAAGTCTTTTGTTGGGGTCTTCAAGCTTGAGGTAGGATGAAGGTTGAAGAGATATAGGCCATCTTTAACTGTCCCTCTGAGAAGAGTGGCTTGAAAGGATTGATCCTTGACAAGGCAAAAAGAAAGATAGAATTCAAAAAAAACATTGTTGTCAAGGGCAAATTTAGACACACTGATCAAGTTTTTAGTAACTGAGGGAACATGCAGCAGTTCTTTTAGTAGAAAAGTCTTGCTATTATTTATAGGCTTAAGAAGAGCATTACCAATGTGGTTGATAGGGGCTCCTGTGCCATTTCCTACTTGCAGCCTGTTTTGTTCATTGTATTCTGATGCAATGCTCATATTGTCAAGCTCATTAGTGACATAGACTGAGGCACCTGAATTTGGATACCAAGTTCCTTCATTTCCAAATTCTGAGGGGGTCAAGGAGCTTGAGTAATGAGTGAGATTAAGTGATGGGTTTCTGTTTCCTCCTTGATGATTTCCTTGTTGCTGAGGAGTGTAGGTTTGATCAAACCTATACCAACATCGATCTGCAATGTGCCCTGAGACCTTGCAGACTTGACAAGTGGGTCTACTTCCATGAAACCTGCCTCCTCTTCCTCTGAAGTTTCTTCCACGAGATCTGCCCCCTCTGTTGTTAAATCCTCCTCTGAAACCTCCTCTAGTTTGTTCATTTTGGAAAGTCCTTTTCTGGTTGTCTTGTGTTGATGTGTTGACAGACGGCTGGGATCCCTCATAAGCACTAGATATCATTTTGGTGTTAACCTCCAATCTGGTTTCATAGCTGAGAAGCAAGGCTTGCACCTCAGTCACAGTGTAGGGCTCAATCCTAGATGTGACTGAGACCATCACTGGATCATACTCACTTCCCAAACCACTTAAAATGTGAATGATCTTGTCTGCTTCCAAAATAGGTTGTCCAGCTGAGGCAAGATAATCGAAGCAGACTTTCATTTGATTGAGATATTGGGACATAGTGAGACTGTTCTTCTTTAATGCCTGCAACTGATTTTATATTGCATCAATTTTGTTGTAGTTTCGCTGGCAAAGCTTGTGGTAAGAGATTTCCAGATCTCTCTGGCTGTGTTAAGCCCAACAGCTTGAATGAGGATGGTTTCACTGAGGGAAGATAGAAGCCAAGATGCTAGGAGCTGATCTTGCCTCTGCCATAAAAGGAAATCTTGGTTCAACACTTGTTCTTAAGAGTCTTGGCCGACAATAAACTGAGATGGGGGAGAAGCATCATCAGTGATGAATTTCTCTAGTCCATAGCCTCTAATGGTTATGAGAACCTGTTGTTTCCAAATCAGAAAGTTTCCTTCATCGGGCTTAGTGGATATTAGCTGGCTTTGAGGAAAATACAAGAGATGTAGATACATTGGATGGTGAGTTTTGGATTATATGCCCAGGTCTCGTGCTAAAATGGCTACTTTCTGCCATTGGAAAAGAAAGGAGATGGAAACTTTGCCAAAAAGATCAATCACGGGTCATAGAAATTTGGCTCTTGATACCATGAAAACAAAACTAGCAAAAGGAATAACACAAGAAACGAGAGCTGCTACATGTTTGACCAAACTCAGTGATAACATTCAATGCAATATGCTAGGGTTTACAACAGCTATTTAAATGAAACAATGTACTGTCTACTCTCATCCTCACTCTACATTCACATAACACTACATGCACGTGGCATCATCTGAAGAGCACTGCATGGGGCCACAGTGTTCAGGGGCAGTGAGGTAATTTCCTTCTTGCATGCATAAGAAGCACGTGCCACAGGTGACATGGACGTAGCTTTGTTGACTTCTTTGCTTTGTTCTTGAATCTTGACTTGTCTAACAATTATGATTGGTTTTCAAAATATTTTATTTATTTTTTTTAATACAATATAAATATAAATTAAATATACTTGCAAGGTACAAGCTTTATTTCTTAAGGTATTTATATATTGTTATTGTATTTTTTTATTGCAACAAAATATGATTGAATTACTCTTTTTTTTATATAATGAGAAATCATTTAATATATGTCATTCTTACTTTTAAAAAAGAAATTTATTATTTATTAATGTAATTTAACTAAAATTATGCAATCATGTTTGAATAAATTATACTTTTTATTTTCAAATTCTATTTTTCATTGCTAACATGACTTCTGCTCTGCAAGTAGGCTTGTAAACAAATCAAATTTTTTTGATTCAATTCGATATTCGAATTCGAATAATGTTTTATATTCGAACATTAAACGAATCCAAATTCAAATTTATAGATATTTGATTCGCAAAAAATAATTATATAAATTTTATAAATTATATATAGTATACATTTCGTTTATAATATATATGTATATGTCTATTGTTATATTCCCTATATTTTTATGACACAAAAAGTAAAAACATCATAAATTAACAATTTTTCCTAAAAATATTGAAAAAATCAAAATCACTTTTGTAATTGTAATATTTTTTTAATTATAATATTTTTCTGAAAACGAATTTCGAATAGAATAGAATATGTTCGAATATTCTAAACGAATCGAATACGAATCAGAAAACGAGTTCGTTAACGAATAGCATACGAATTCGAATCCTAGAATATTTTAACAAATCCGAATCAAATATCTAAATATTCGCTTTGATTCGATTCGCTTACAACAATATCTGCAAGTATATATGGTCTTTTGTTTTGACATGTACAATGAACAAGAGCATAGGGAAACTTATGAACCCTACAAATTATTGAAAATTCATAAACAATATACACAATCTTGTTTCCCTAAGCGGGTAATTTGTAACATTTCACCAAGCGAGCCGGGCCGGCCTGGGAAATCAACGGCCGATATTTTTTTTTCAACCTTTTTTTAGGACGGGTCCCAGGCTGCCTAGCGTGCATGAGTAGCTTCACAACCGCCTAGTCAGCCTAGACACCGCCTAATCGTTAAAGCACCTAGAACGAACATGTAGGCAAAAATCTCGGAGCTTAGGCCGAATTTTAGTAAAGAGCTACAATGAAGACGGAATTTCCCAAGCCCGAGTAATTACGCTTGACCGACTCCATTGTCGTTTTAGTTAGTTAATTAGCTGGATTTCAGTTGTCCTTTTAGGTCACTTGATGTACTGATACTTTTGGTTGTTTTAATGAAGATGTCTTTTAGCCTAATTACATACATGGACAAACCCAAATGGTCTTGTAGCCTAAAAGATTTAATCAGTTTCTTTTATTTGCTTTTATGAACTGGAAGACCAAGAAATTATGTTTCTTTTATTTGCCTTCATGAACTGGAAGACCAATAAATTATGTTCTAGGAAATACCTAAAATATTCAAATACAAAAATTATCAAAGATATTTGGTCTGATTATTAAAGAAAGAAAACAAATCAAGGCATTTTTTTTTTTTTTTGGTACAAAGAAGGCGACCATAGGCCTAGGTGTTAGACAAGAATGCGTCGGGATAAGACACCCCGCTGATATCATGTTGACAGCTATCTTTTTTAAAGTTATAAACTTGACAGTTGCAAGTTTTAAAACAACACATAAAAGGGGACATTGCAGTAATCTAAGGGGTTATCTGAAATAATTTCGAAGAATTGTTGGAGTTTCTTGCGTGAGACTGTCTAACCATTAGGCAAGTTAACCTGTCATACTCTGTTTTTTCACAACAATGCATACTCATACTTTGAAAAATGTCGTATTTTTGTTCAAGGGTGGGCATTTTGGTCAATATGACTAGCAACCACATTACGAGAATAAACAACATTAATTAAGCTTATATGATACTAAGTTAACAACATAAACATCCAAGAACAGAACAGAGATAACATCAAAGCCACGAGGCCAGCGAGCCAGCTCGAGCCGCATATTTTGTTGTTCAAGGGCATTTTGGTCCACCCCTTTTGGTCTTCCAGTTGTTGTAGCAAGGGCAAACTTGCTTGTTACCGTACGTGCCCGGTGGCACGCACAAGCACTTTGCGCAGCATTTTTGGCAGAAGGACATGCATGGCTTCTTGAACGATGTCTTTGAGCATCTATTTCTGCATCTTCCTCCACATTCTACACTCAATATAATACCAAAACAAATGAAAATGAAAAAAAGATCAGCTTCTGGCCGAGGTAAGTAAACAAGAAAATAAGCTCGACTTGTGTTGACGCTTTCAAATGTGATTTAGATTTCTGATTTTAGTTTCGATCTAAAACGGAATGGTTTAGCACCGACCTTGAGGTCGAAGGCTCCCCTCAGTGATGCCATACTGCAGATTAAAAAGAACTAATCGAGGTGAGTGTGCAAAATCATGTAACGCTTGCATTTTTTTAGAGTAAATTGCAATTCTACTCCTCTATGGTTACTATCCTAACTTTTTCGTCCATTTCGATTTTTTTTTTTTTATTTTTTGCATCTCTTATGTTTACAAAAAGGTTACAAAAATGTCCTTAATTTACGCAACAAAATAAATCATCTTATGTTTTGCAAAAAAAATATTGCCATTTCGTCCCTTACTATGCTGGGGGACCTTTTTTCGAACATAACGGACAAAAATAAAAAAATCAATTCGAAGGGGACGAAAAAGTTACGATAGTGAAACATAAAAGATTAAAATTACAATTTTCTCCTTTTTTTTTCTCTCTCTCTCTCTAAATTTTGATTTTTTACCTGGATTTTTCCATTTGGATGCTGCTGAGAAATTGTTAATTTAGCACCAAAGGCCTGAAAAAAGACCAATGTAAACAACACACATTACACATATATAGTTAATTGAAAAGGCAAATGAAAAGTTTCAATAACATACATATAATGATGCCAAGATATTCAGTGTGTGTGTGTGTGTGTGTGTGTGACCTGTTTTTGAGCCAGAATAGAGAGGATAAAGAGTAGGCACAAGAGGAAGGCCATTTTGCTAGCCATTTATTTATTTATTTATTATTTTTATTTTTTATTTTTAATTGAGCAAGCTTGAAATGATTAAGGGAAATATATTATAGTAAAAAGGAAGAAGAATATTTCACTATTTGTAATTTGTGTCTTGGTTATGAAAGAAAGACAAGTGGTATTTATAGAGAGGGAAGCTGAGTGCATTCTAAAAAGAGTAATACTATAAGTACATAACATTGTACATATGGGTGTACATAATACTCACATTGAGTGGGACCCACCAGAAATAAAAAAATCAAGTGGACCCCACTCCATGCGAGTATTGTGTACATCTCTATGTATATTTATTATGTACTTGTAGCATTTTCCTTCTAAAAATATGCAACCGTAATAATTACCACTCTATACTTTTGGTGCAACACTAGAAGAATGGGACCTAAAGTGACATTATTTATATCTGAAAATGACTATTTTGCCCTCGATCGATCCAGTCTCTCGATTTTGTATTACTAATTTTACTCAACATTAATTTTTATTTATTAAAAGATCACATTTTGAGGAAGGATTAAAAGATAGCAATATTTGAGATCATCCATTTCTACAGCAAAAATCTCGACTAAGACCCCATTCTTTAGCTTTAGGCTGTGTTTGTTTTCCAGCGTTTTGAGCAAAACGCTAAATTAGCGGATTTGACCAAAATCCAAACCGCTAAATTGGTCACTTACTGATGTTTGGTAAACAGAGTTTGAAAACAACAGAATGAGGTGAAACGCTAAAAACCAAAACGCTGCATTTTGCAGCGTTTTTGGATCAGCTTTTCAAATAAAAGATTACAATATATATAAATATACAGATAAATCAATTTG